TTGATACAATTGGTGAAGAGCAACCAATTTAATGGACTATCTCATGAAAGTCCATATGAACATCAGACCACACTCAACGAGATTTGAAACACTGTGAAGATCAATGGAGGATGACGCTATAAAGCTTAGTTTGTTTCCTTTCTCATTGGGAGGCAATGCTAAGCTATGGTTGAATTCTTTCCCGGATGATAGATTTACTAAATGTGAAGCTGTGGTTTCAAAGTTTCTGAACATGTACTTCCCACAGTAAAAAATCAACAAGGGTAAGCAAGAAATTCCTTCTTTCAGGCAAGGCATGGAGGAGACGTTAGGTTAAGCTTGGGATAGATACAAGAGTTTGCTAAGGAAGACGCCCACGCATGGCTTTGATGAAGCAATATAGTCATTCTTTTCCTTGGAGGTCTAGGTTCACAAACCAAATGGATGCTAGATGCCTTAGCTGGAGGTAATATTAAGTGTAAGACTCCAGAGGAAGCTTTTGAATTGATTGACAACACGGCTACTAATGATAACGAGATGCATGGTGAAAGAGGAGCTCCACCTCAACAGAAGGGAGTTCCAAAATTACAATCTCGAGATGACCTTCTTGCACAAAATAAAATTATAACTCAACAGTTGGAGAATTTGACGAAGACACTCACTCAGTTGCCAAAAGAGCTGAAGAACGTTTCATAGGTTCAACAACAACTCTGTGAATTATGTGGTGGTGATCATATCAATGGTCAATGTGCTTTTCCAGTGAAGGCCCAAGAAGATGTCAATTATATGGGCAATCAATTCCAATACCGCCAAGGAAACTTCAACCAAGGGTGGAAACCTCACCCAAGCATGGGTCAAGGTCAAAATGGACAAGCTGGACAAGCTGGACAAGCAAGACAATTTAATAGACCAAAATAGCAACTATCACTATAGCAACAAGTATCTACACTAAATGAGAGATCAACAAAGCTAGAAGACACTCTTCAACAATTTATGCACATGACTATCTCCAATCATAAGAGCACTGAAGCTACTATAAGAAATTTGGAGATGCACGTCGGCCAACTGGCCAAGAAGATGGAAGATAATGCAAAAAAGCAATTTGGGGCTAACACTAAGGTTAACCCTAAGGAAGAGTGTAAAGCTTTTGCGAACATAGATGATGAGAGGGTGAAAGAGAGTAAAGAAAGAGTTGAGTTAGAGAAGAGAGAATATGTGAGGTTGAGACGAAAGAGAAAGAAAAGAAGAGGGGAGAGAAATTTTTTTAGAGAATTGAAAAAGTTCTTCCTTATCCTAAGAGGCGTGAAAAAATAGATAAAGAGAGACAATATGAGCGTTTTAAGGAGATCTTCAGGAAATTGGAGATTACTATACCTTTGACCAAAGCACTGCAGCAATTTCCTGCTTATGCTAAGCACATGAAGCAATTCCTCACAAAAAAGAGATATTTAGATGAGGAGACTATGGATGAACAGGGAGGTTGCGGTGTTATTTTGGAGAAACCATTTCCTCCAAAAGTGAAAGATCCAGGAAGTTATGCTATTCCTTGCGTCATCGGGAAGGTGAATATAAGGAAAGCCTTAATTGATTTAGGGTCAAGCATTAATTTGATGCTCTTATCTCTGCTCGAAAGGATTGGTGATCTTGAAGTCAAGCCAACAAAGGTGACTTTGCTTATGGCAGATGGGTCCTCCAAGAAACCCTATGGTATAGCGGAAGATGTTGTGGTTTGTATAGAGAAACTTAAATTCCTGGTGGATTTTATGGTGATGGAGATGGAGGAAGATGAGAAGATCCCAATTATTCTTGGAAGGCCATTTATGAAAATGGAAAAGGTAATCATCAATGTGGATGATGGCATGATAGTGCTTCAAGACCAAGAAGAAAAGGTGATCTTTAATGTCTTCAAAGCTGAGCAGCAGATTCAAGAGAAGAAGACTAATCATAAATTTGCATGTAAGGATGCACTAGTGACTTGCTCTAAAGCTGCCAAGTCGGTCATCAAAGGTACAAATTGTTTCTTGTCACAAGTTAGGGAAGAAGAAAAAGATGACAAAGGAAGGATGGTTCATGATGACTTGGTGGATGCACAATTCAAACTTGGCA